ATCACAGTGTGAATGCTGAAGTTATATTATTGACGGGAAAGAAAAACAGAGTAGTTTCTAGTTATGGTGTGGCTCAGCCCTTAGCACACATGTATTCCTTCGGCTGGAATATAGGCACACCCTTATCACACACCTCTAATCCCAAACAATGAAAATAAAGTCAGTTTGCAGAAGGAAGCACTCAAATTTGAAAGTGATGTCTAATTGAGTGACAGACAAAGTGATGAATCAGAGAGAGATGAGACAGAATAGCATATGCCCAACCCTCAGGAGGAGAGAAAAGGAAGCAACTTAAGGGGCAGTTCAGAAAAGGAGGGAGGCAGTTTAACTGGGAGAGCTTTACAGACAGGTTGAAGAGAGAACATGCTAGGCATAGGTAAAGCAGAACAAGCCAGAGAATGAGCAGGAGCCGGAAGATTACAACAGAGTGATAGAGTTGGTTTGAGATCCAGCAGAACAATTCAGGAGAGACAGAGCGAGAGCGAGAGATCAGATTGAATCAGTTAGTGTGGAGAGGACTTTGAGCCAGAACAGCTGAGCTGAATCAGGCAGCCAGAGATCAGAAAGAACAAGAAAGTGTGAGCTTATTCAGCGGTAAGTCTCAGATACTCAAGCTTGAAGCTTCCAGGACTAAGCCTCTGAGAGAGACAACTACATCAAGAGAATAAAAGTTACTGTCAGAAAACCCTGGTGCTGCTTCCTTCCTGACACATCTTCCTATTCACAGCCTCTTGCTCTCCAGGCTGACACCAGGCTCCCTGAGTGTCTGCTGCCACTTGAGCAGTATCCTCAGAGCTCACGGAAGGGAGGCGTGAGCAGGGTTCCGTCCTGAGGGTTTTATTCCGCCTAGTGTTTCCAGCATCCCATGAGCCCCAGTCACATCCTCCTGTAGGACACCCTTTCCTGCTACCATGGTTGCTGCAGAAGAAAGAACCGGGAAGCCTATGTGGTAGAAGGCTACCGGATCCCTCTTCCAGGCCTCCTCCGTGTCTGTGGATATCAGAGAGTGGACAGCAAGACCACTGTGTAAGTGAAACTGAAGACACTGCCTGCACAGACCATCAGGAAACAGCTTTCTTCTTAGTGATTGGCTCAGGCAGGGAGACTCCAGCATACAAAGTCGCCATCAACAGCACAGAAGTGCGCCCTGTTCCTGTGTCCATCTGCCTGGAATGATGACAGTGACAACAACTTTTCTACCGCTGCAAAAACTGTGCAATAAACCTTATAGATAAAAAAATAAAATTAAACAAGCAAATTAGCATGCCAGGCATGGAGCACTTTTAAACCCAATATTCACAAGGCAGAGCAGGGCTGTGTGGTGGATGGTCTGAACACACAGTGAGACACTGTTTTCTGCCTCCACAGATAACAGGAGCTAGAGGACCAGCTCAGTGACACAGCAGGACTGCATCCCTGCCCCCCATACAAACAATAGAGAATAGCGCGTAGGCTGGAAGGGGCTGGGGCCTGTGCACTGTTTGGAGGCTGGATAAATGGAATACTTCTTAAAAAATTAGAAAGACAACTAATTACCTTATTATCCGGCAAAGCATTCTGGGTATACACCCAAAACAACTGGGCACAGACACACAGGAGCTATCCCAATGGGCCACACTCACAGCAGCAGGACCTTCATAGTCAACACACGCGCTCCATCCACGTGCCCATCACATCGACAGGAACGTGCGGTCTAGCCACATCAGAACACTGCCCTACCTTTTAAAGGGTGAGGACACAGAGCAGTTGGAAGGGTCCTGGCCTGTCAGAACACTGTCCAGGAATGGAGTGTTGTGGGAATTCTGAGCACTGTGAGAACACTCCAAGAAATCAAGACAAGAATCTGTGACCTCAGTTTCTTCAAAACATAGAATTGTTCTTGGGCCGTGCTTTCATGCTCCTCCTAGGCATAGTGAATCGTAGTTCACCTCACAGTACTCATTACTGCTTGCTGTTGCTATTCAATTAAATGCTTAAACTGTCCTTTATATGGCTCCATGGAAAACCATGGTTTTGCCATGTTCGGCTCGTCTTTGTGATTATATGCAGCCTGAACTCATGAGAACTTTGTGCATCTGAGGTGCTGAGGAAAGCAGGCAACTGCATGAGACCTTAGTCCTCTCACATACCAATTCTGTTCTCCCAGGTCCCATGACCTCTAAAGTGGTGACACTTGCCCACAATACATGAGGCCCTGGGTTTGATTCCAAGCACTGCATAAACCAGGCAGAGTGGCATATACCTCTAATCCCAGAGCTGGGAAGGTGCAGACAGGGAGATCAGCCCTTCAGAGGCTGAGGAGGTGAAGGCACTTGACAGCAAGCCCAACAACCGAGGGATGGCTCAGTGAGTAACAGCACGGGCTACTCTTCCAGAGGACCCACATTCCATCCCCAGCACCCACATGGCAGCTCACCACAGTCAGTAACTCCAGGTCCAGGTAGTCAGTGCCCTCCTCCTGCCACCAAGGGCACCACGTGCACACGGTGCGCAAATCTACATGCAGGTAAAACACGCATGCACATAAAAAATGAAGTCCAAGGTAGGCTGGGCTACATGAGACTATCACACACACACACACACACGCACACACGCATACACGCACACACACACACACACACACAAGGAAATCCTGACGTGCAACCACTCACACAAATGAGCAAGGAACTAAGGAGGGCACCATTACAAGACCCTGTACAATGCCTGAAGCCTCAGAGCAGTCAGACTCAGAGCTCCCCTTCGTCTACTACAGAAGGCGTGCTGCCAGAGACTGGGAAGACTGAGGGGCCGTCTGCCGGGCCGTCTGACAGGCTGGCCTGCAGTTTTCTTCTGGAGACATGCGCTATGAATGTAATGAAGCAGCACTGAACTCACAATCAGAAACAGTTAAGTTCATAAATGTGACAGAACCTGTTACTTAACAAATTTTGGGGAGCTGGAAAAATATCTGAGAAGGGAAATTGCATCTGGAATTTATAAAGAACGTCTATAAGCTCACTAATAAAAAAGCAGGCCAAGGTCAAGTGTGGTGTTCATCTCTAACCCAGCACTCAGGAAGTGGAGGCAGAAAGGTGAGGAGGCCAAGGCCAGCCTCCATTCCACATCGAGTATAAGGGGCTAGAGTGAGACACAGATGCCATCTCAAGAAACCAAGCACTCAGAACACACAGCAGAAGGAGATCTGTGATTCCAAGGCCAGCCTGGTCTACATAGCTGATTCCAGAATAACCTGAGCTATATTGTGAGGTCTCTCAAAGAGTGGGGATCGGGGGTAGGGTGGTAAAGAGCTGGCTCATTGGTTTAAAATGCTTGCCACTCTACCCAGAGGACCCAAGTTCAGTTCCCAGCACCCACGTGGCAGCTCACACCCTCCTGTAACTCCAGTTTCAAAGACCCTGGGCTCTGAGAGCACCTACACACAGGACATATATACCCACATACATACATACATTAAAAGATAATAATAATCTATAAAGGGAAAAAGAAGCTAGGTGTGGTGGCTCAGGCCTTTAATCTCAGCACTCCAGAGGCAAAAAAAAAAAAAAAAAAAAAAAAAAACACACCGGCCCCCGGGGTTTTGAAACACACAGAAAAACCAGATTGAAAAAAAAAAAAAAAAAAAAAAAAAAAGAACAAAAAATTCTGTGGGGGGGGGCCGAGCATTTTATTAAACCACCCCCCTCAAAAAAAAAAAAAAAAAAAAAAAAAAAAAGCTCCAGGACAGCCGAGGCTGTTACACACAGAGAGAAACCTGTCAGAGAAAGAAAGAAAAAGTAAACAGACAAGAGCCATGAATAGATAACTCTTCAAAGACACCTCAGTGCTCAACAGCACATGAAGACATGCTCAACCTCAGATCATCAAGGGAGGGCCAATCAGAACCACCATGTGGCAATACCTCACACCCACTAACAAGTAAGTGCTGGCCAGGATGTGGGGACACTGAACCTCTTACATGCTGAGAAATGAGTAATGCAGCCAGGCCCTATGGAAGCCACCCTGTGTCCCTCCAAGGTGGCCCTGGAACTGCCAGGTGATTCTGATTCCACTCCCCAGCACGCTGCTTCCACTCACACCAACTGCAAGCATCAGATAACTCTTCCTGCATCCTGGTGCTTGGGAGGCAGGTGCCAAAAAAGACAGGAGTCTGAGGAAAGCCTGGGATACACAACAAGGCAAGATAGTTTTGTTTTGTTTTGTTTTAATGAGGGACACAACTGGGATCAGTCAAACTGATCTATCGCTGCCAATGGGAAGCTCACAAATGCTAACCTTAGGGTCAAGAGGTTTTAAGGAATTTCATAAATGATCAAATCATTGGTCATGCATGATTAACTCAAGCCAATATAAGGTCCTCCACCCTCAGAGCAGCATGCAGTGGGGTGTAGCCAAAAGTTCAAACCCTCCAATCCTGCATGCAGTCTTTCATGGCCAGCCCCAGTCACCTCATGAACACCAGAAAGAACTGGGAAAACAAAGCCCCTACCATCCCTTGCAAAACTAAGGCAACTAAAGGTGAAACAGCTCATCATTGTGAACTTCAACGGAAAACATTCATACATGTAAATTAAATTCTAACAAAGTTTCTGCAGATCTCAGGAGAAATAAAAGCCCATTGACCCAGGACCAAACAGGGCCAGCACAGAAGCTGACAAGTCTCTCTGGCCACCTGGAAGAGAAGTCTGGTGGCCAGCACAGCTGCTGGCTCACAGGATGTGGTGATCTCCAACCACACCCAAAGGAGCTCATGACTAGGAAGTGCCTAGCTTCCAAGCCTGGAGCTGCCAAACCTGGAGCCCAGGAGCCTCCACTGATCCCCAAAAGAACAGCATGACAGGTCTCAACTGATGACCATCTAAGACAAGAGGCAACTCACCCGAGGCCAGCCCCTACTGACCATCCTGAGGGTGCACAGCACAGCTCCCTGTTTTGCTGCCTGAGACCCAGGGGCTGGCTGGGGGGGATGAGTCACCCAGGAAGCAGAATATCAAGCATCCTACCTTCCCACAGCGATGCGACCTTCAGGCTTTTGGTGATCTGCTCTGGTTCTGACAGCCCTCATCGAAGGCCAGCATAATTTCCTGAGCCCCAAACACTCCTGGCCAGTCCTCAGGCTCCAGGAGGCTACCTGCCTCCCCACTTCCCAGAAACGTAGAGTCCTAACAAGCAGCTTCATCCTAGGAGTGGGACAAACCGTTTATCCTCCCTCATAGCACGAGGCTTAGCTCCTGTGTCTACCAGCCAGCATCCAGCTTAGTGGAGGGGCCTCCTCAAGGGAATCCAACTGGGCTCCTCTCTCCACCACTAGTGAGTAAGCAAATGCCAACAGGCAAGCTGGTGGGTCTGTTCCCGGAGCCCAGTGATGCAACCTCATGAGAAGGTATGCAGTCACTCAGCCTTTTCTCAGGGAGGAATGGTGGAGGAGGGACAAAGGACCCAACCCTCTGAAGGGCTGACAGATCCTCCTCTCAGACCCCCCATCTCCAGGAACTTCAAGCCAAGTACTACCCTGCTTGGCTTATTACAAGTCAAGGCATGGTTCCACCTCAGCCAAAAGCTCCTCAGCAAGGCTGGCTGGGCTGCCAAGTGGGGCAGAGGTCCTGGCTAGGCATGAAGGTAGCAGGAAGTCGGAAGATGAGAAAGTGCCGCACTGGGGCGGGACCACGGAGGAAAACAGGGCTCAACTCCGCCCTAACTCATGCTGAAGGAGGAAGCACCAGAGCTGGAAGCACTCTCAGTTGTGAAAAGAAACAAAGGCTTCGATGAGTCTCCTGTCCCTACCCTGTAGCTCCTAAACAGCACAACAGTCAATGCAGCAGCCTCCGACCTTCTCTGGCTTCCTCTGTTCCCAGCACTCCCCACGCCTGGCCTTCTTGCAACAAGTCCCAGACAGCACAGCTTGGCATCCACAGACACCTCAGCAGCCTCTCTAAAACACAGGCTCCTTTGGAAATCCACCTTAGACCAAGCACAGTGGCACCACGGTGACACTTGTCCTCTCATTTACTAGGGAACTTAGGAAGTAGTGGCAAGGGTCTCACTTGAGCCCAGAATTTCAGGATAGCCTGGGCAATACAGTCGTGATGGTTTAAATATGTTTGGCCCAGGGAGTGGCACTATTAGGAGGTGTGGCCTTGTTGGAATAGGTGTGTCACTGTGGGCTTTAAGACCCTCCTCCTAGCTGCTAGGAAGCCAGTTTTCTCCTAGTGGCCTTCAGATGAAGATGTAGAACTCTTAACTCTGCCTCCACTGTGTCTGCCTGAACACTGCCATGTTCCCACCTTGATGATAATGGACTGAACCTCTGAACCTGTAAGCCAGCCCCAATTAAATGTTCTTTATAAAAGTTGCCTTGGTCATGGTGTCTGTTCACAGCACTTAAACCCTGAGACAACAGTGAAGCCTCATGCACAGTTTTGTTTTAAGATTTATTTATTTATATTATGTATGTAAGTACACTGTCACCCTCTTCAGACACACACCAGAAGAGGGCATCAGATCCCATTACAGATGATTGTGAGTCACCATGTGGTTGCTGGGAATTGATCTCAGGACCTCAGAGCAGTCAGTGTTCTTAACCACTGATCCATCTCTCCAGCCCCTTTGTTTTATGTTTTAAAGGCAGGGTCTTACAATGTCACCCTTGCTGCTCACCAGAAACTCACCATGTAAGCCAAGCTGGCCCCGAACTCACAGAGATTCCCCAGGCTTCTTATGCCTTCCAAGTACAGGGATCAGAGCCATGCACTACCAGGCTTGGCTTCCCCTTTTTAACTAAGCAAACATATAAACACATAAATACATACATACATCTGGAACATATAATAAAAATCCCTCAGCCTCATCAAACATGAAGAGAATGTTCCCATGCCGGAGAGTACATCCCAATGCCTGTGAAATCTGCATTTGTAAACTGCATTCACAACTCTAGAATCCCAAATGTTCATTGGCTGAAGAGATAAACCAGCTGGGATGTCCAGAGAATGGGAGTGCCGCCCATGTGAGGTTCACAGGCATTGTGCTAAGTACAACACCCTCCCCTAACAACCACAGAACAAGCCACATGAGAGAAAGCCACTGAGTCACTTGCCAGGTACCAGTGCTGGAAGAAGGAAATAAGTGCCTGACACCATTAGATCTCATGAAGATAATCTATGTCCCGGTCAGATGGTTGCTACACAGGCACACATCTATCAAAATGCAAGGAACTGTGCACACCTATAATATCAGAATTTGGGACATGAAATCATGAGGATCAGAAGTTCAAGGCCACCCTCCACCACATGCCAAATGTGATACTAGCCTGGGCTATGTGAAACTCTGCCTCAAAACAAAAGAAAACAAACAAATGTCAGTGAAATGTACATGAAAGCAGCCGCATTTCATGGAGGACAGTTGTGTGGAGTGTGTGTGTGTGTGTGTGTGTGTGCTACATCCACAGAGAACGTTTGTGTGGAGTGTGTGTGTTACATCCACAGAGAACGTTTGTGTGGAGTGTGTGTATTACATCCACAGAGAACGGTGGTGTGGAGTGTGTGCGTTACATCCACAGAGAACGATGATGTGGAGTGTGTGTCTGTGTTACATTCACAGAGGACGGTTGTGTGGAGTGTGTGTGTTACATCCACAGAGAACGGTGGTGTGGAGTGTGTGTGTTACATCCACAGAGGACGGTTGTGTGGAGTGTGTGTGTTACATCCACAGAAAACGGTGGTGTGGAGTGTGTGTGTTACATCCAGAAGTCAACAAGGCTTTTACGATGGCAAACCTTGAGCTAGGGCTGTCACTTGGGGGGAAAGCACCAGCTGCCCTGTACAAGGCTCTGAGCTTGACCGCTGCAGAGAGACAAATATTGTATAAATATTTTTTATTTATTTATTTATTTATTTTTTTTGGTTTTTCGAGACAGGGTTTCCCTGTATAGCCCTGGCTATCCTGGAACTCACTCTGTAGACCAGGCTGGCCTCGAACTCAGAAATCCACCTGCCTCTGCCTCCCAAGTGCTGGGATTAAAGGCGTGCGCCACCACCGCCCGGCCCTTGTATAAATATTTTAAATAAATACTTTTGAGCAGTAAAGGATAATGTAATAACAACCGAGAGGGCTGGAGAGACAGTACAGTGTTAGAAGACTCTCGCAAAGGACCCGGGCTCAGTTCCCAGCACCAACACAGCAGCTCACCACCATCCAGAACTCCTGTCCCAGAGAATCCGATGCTGCCCTCTGGTCTCCACAGGCACTGTACATGCATGGTGCACAAATATACATGCAGGTAAAAACACCTATGCACATAAAATAAGTCTCTTTTTGTGTGTGAAAACATATAAATAAATGATGACCGGCAAGCTGTGACCCCGAGGCTGAGTGCTCACCTAGCATACATGTGAGACCCTGGGTCAGAGTAGAACAAGTCTTTCTCCCCCTATATACTTATTTATAAAAAAGAGCAGGGTTTACTGTGCCTGTATGTCACAGGTTAGTGGAAGTAAGGAGACCCTTCACACGAGTTGGTTCTTGCCTTCCACTGTGTGAATTTCCAAGGACCAAACTCATAGCAAGCAAGCGCCTTCATTGCTGAGCCATCTACTGGTCTCAACCTAACATTTATTATCTTTCTTCACATTAATCATCAGATTTTACAAAAATAAAGAGAGAACATCTCCTCACACATCCAGTTGGCTTTCCGCCTCTGCCTGCCACATGCTGGAATGAGAGGTGACCATCACTCCACACTAAGTCTGTTTCCAATTTACTTTATAGTTTGTTATTATGTATGTATGTATGTATGTATATATATATATGTATGTATGTGGGTGGGGGTTATGTATGTATGTATGTATGTGGGGGGGTTATGTATGTATGTGTATATGTGGGTGGGTGGGTGAGGCATGCATGTGAGGATAGGTGTCTGAGTTGGCCAGAGGCATTGACTCTTCTCAAGGTAGAATCACAGATGGTGTCATCCTCAATCGAAGGAATGGCTGTGTCTATGAGATTAAAGGCTGCCCTGCCCAGATTTCAAGGAACTACCCATAGATACTTTAAAAATCTACGTGCATTCTGTTGACTACTGAAATGTTACTGTGGGCACTAAAGTTTGCAGTGCTACTAGCCGGCCTCCCTGCAGGTATTCAGGTACAGGTCCTTGGTGGGGAAGACCCCACAAGAACTCCCTTCCCAGGAACCTCCAGGACTGAAAAACAGTACCCAAGATGGGCGGTCACAGTACCTGTGGGGTCGACCCTGACATCCAACCCTTCACATCCTTTCGTGTCCTTCAGGAAAAGGCTGGAGAACTGGCTCATCGGTTAAGAACACTGGCTGCTCTTCCAGAACACCTGAGCTTGTTTCCCAGCGCCCACACGGCAATTCACAACTATCTGCAACTCCAGTCCAGAGGATCCAGTGCTCTCTTCAGGCACTGGGCACACACATGGCAGGAGACATATAGACAAGCAAAACATCCATACTCATAAAAATCAGTAAATAAATTTTAAAAAGAAGGCACCTTCTGGCCTGCATGATATCAGGGAGCTGGCTAGCTTCAGGGCAAAGTCCAGAGTGACACTGGGCTAGGTAACAGGCTGTAAAACAAGACAGTAGCAGACTCAGGCACCCTTCACCACAGGCTCACTGGGCTACAAAGAGTGCATCTTCAACAGGATCCATACATCTTCCCAGGAATAGAGCCACACTGCACTTTACGGAATGTTCCAGAACAGATCCAGTGTTATTGTTAATTCCACTTTCCAGCCAAAGACCAAGCTGAAAGGAGAGACAATTCACATCCACTGAACTAGCACTGCTGGAGTTTGCAGACTGCAGACAGCACTGAAGGCATTCGCCGTCCTCGCATCCCGCTCCCAGGAAAGCGCTTGAGAGACCGGCATCTGAGAGAGAGCAGGACAAGCCAGAGTCTGCAGATGTCACACCCTCAGCCCCAAATAGGTTCCACAGCCACAAAACCTCAGAGTTCAGTGATCATGAGGTGGGGCAGGATGCCAAGGGCAAGGCTGGCACGGGCTGCTAAGTGGAACTCTGCCTCAAAAAGGGCAAAATAGATAAATAAAAATAAATCAGGGCTAAAGGGAAGGGTCAGCTATTAAGAGAGCTTGTGGGTTTCCAGAGCACCTCTTCTCTCTCTCTCTCTCTCTCTCTCTCTCTCTCTCTCTCTCTCTCTCTCTCTCTCTCAAAATCAGGACTAGTGGGATGATTCAATAGATGAAGGCACTGCCAAATCTGAAAATTTGGGTTCAATCCCAAGAACCTATTCCCACAAGCTGTCCTCGGCATGACCTCTACATTTGTGCCATGGCACACTCACAGGGACACGAACACACACACACACTCA